TAAATAAAAACAAACTTTGTTCACCGTTTTCCCGTTTTATAGTTTTCCCAAACCTTGTCCTCACTTTCGACCCAAATAGAAGCTTCGGTGAAGTTTTAGCAGCAACTCCTTTTTATTCATATTATATATACATATTATTCGAAAAATAAATTTTAATAACTGTGTACAGTTTCATGCTCTCATAATATTTGTAAATAATTTCTGTATCGAAACCAACAACCCATTCGGCAGCTGAAAAGCGTATTTAGAAATATGTTTAAATACGTACAAAATATATTCTTACTAATTTTAAAAGTAGCTCTTTCACAATATTCCACATGATGAAGCTATGCATATGAAAACACAACACCCTTCTAAGAGCATTAATATAAACCAAAAAATAATTGAGCTTGTCAATCATAGTGACAGCAGTAGGGATTATAAGAAACCACACAAAAGGTGCATTATTAGAATTTTGAAATTTTTATTAGCGTATCCACACGGGACAACGTCGAACTTCTTGCCAGCTAACTGGCAAAGGAAAATAAAAACCATATGAAATATGCAACGGCACACAGCAACAGTATCAAGAGATACTCATTAAAAAATGATTGAAAGATTAAGTAGTAAAAGTAAACCTCAGACTTGGTTTGAACTCGATTTGATTTGGCATTTATATAGTAGATAATATTAGGTATAAACTTAAAATCACAATTTTTAAAACATTCCAATGCGTATTTATTTATTAACCAATACTATCAGCTTTCAGGTAACCATAAATACAAATTTTATGCCCTGTATTTATTATAACTAATTAAGCGGCTTTATATTTAAACAAAAATCATATAAATAATATTTTTATCTGAGAGTTTGCCTTGCCTTGTAGTTACCCTTTGGTTTCACCCTTTAGCCCATTTATGTGGACAGTTCTTCGGAGCCTAAACTTGTTTAAAATAAAACTAATCATTTTAAATGAACACAATTTCTTAGAATTTAATGTAGACTACAGGGTATGAGACTAATGCAAACTTTAGCTTAATGCCGTGACTGTGCCACAGCAATGCCACAAGAATGCATCGGAAAGCAGAACGCCTTTTCCTGCCCCACCACCAACCACGAGAACCACACACATCACCTCGCTGCATTTCGCCTTTTATTGGGATTCTGCTTGCTGTAGCCCGTGGCTTCCGCGTCAAAGTAAAAAATATTCTAGCGAACACTTTGCTAATTAGCCAGCGAGTGAATGAATATGAATATTGCAAAAGTGTGCATTTTGCATTTAATTGAAAGTTATGCAGAATTATTAATAAGTTGAACGGATGATTTGGTATGGTTTTTACTATCCTTCTGGCCTTAAGATAATTGGAATTACGATGCGAATTGAGTAGTGAGAGCAATGCAGTCATAACAACTAACTCGAATGTCAATCAACGCGGGAAATTGGATTATTGGAGCGACGTGTTCGCATAAACAACAAATTGGAATAAAACTCAATCAAGAGATGCCTCGGACTCAAAGCGACATCTCAGGCTCATGGATATGAAATGAACATCAAGACACAATTTGCTTAAGCAAGACGAATTTAAATTTCAAAACCAAAGCAAACTTATTATCTGGGGAAAAAAGTAAAGAAAAGATTGGGAAACAGGATTAATGTCTCTTTGATGGCTGTCACACATTTAAATTATATTTGAATATCACACGGATGCTCTATCTTCATAAACTCCCTATGTCATAGTTTCAAGGTTACAGGGTATATGGTGAAATGCATTAAACCTAATGCGAACCGATAACAACGGCTCGACAATAAACTAGGCGGGCAGCCAGTCTGGTCATTGTTTTAATAGCCAAGAACGGCAAGTGCAAAATATGAGAGGCCATCAATTCATGCCTGAAATGAGAAACGAAATAAAATATTATCCACTTGAAAATTTTGACCTGCTTGAGCAATTTTTTGAATCGATTCTTATTTTACTTTAATACCCTGTAGAAAAATGGGTTAGAAGTTAAGATTATGGAGTCTTGTTTGAGACAATATGAAATGTTTTAAAGCTGTTGTTGCTAGAACTTTAAATTAAATATACTTAAACTGAATATACTTCAAAAAAGTATTATAATCATAGTAAAATAATTTATTGTTAAGTGTTTTTATTTTTGCTGTTTTGCAACAGCATTTTTTATGGTCCTTAATTTTATTTTTATTATTTTATAATTATTATATATGATTTTAATTATTGTTACTATTATTATTATTATTATTGTTATTATTATTATTATTATTATTATTATTATTATTATTATTATTATTATTATTGTTATTATTATTATTGTTAGTTTATTAATATTATTGTTATTATTATTATCATTATTATTAAAATTATTATTATTGTTATGTTTTTTTATTTTTTACTTAATTAATTGATATATAAAATATTTTTAATTTTTGATTTTTTTAATATATTTTAGCTCTTATTTATATATTTATTTCTTTCCTTTTCTGTAAAGCTCAGTGTACTGCAGATAGGGTGTCATATAGTCCAGCATTTTGAAGTCTTATTAATTTTCTTTGTATTTTAAAGGCTATAAATTGCCAAAAAGAATTACACGTTGTCCTTTGTCAAAGTTCGTGGACGAAGCTGTGGCAGTAAATCGTGCGGAATTTACGCGCCGCCACTTTAACACTCATGTGCGTCTCGCTGCCCGCCCCAACCAATACGTTCCGCCTTAATCGTAGGAGCGGGCATAATTCAGCCTAATAATACATAATTCAAATATGACGCTGGACACATTAGTTCCGCCGTCTTAAGCACTCGCCGGCGCCAGTGATAAATGGAGGTCCAACAGGTTGACGTCCAGAGGCGGCAGCCGACCAGCAATTTAAGTAGATTTTGTGGTCGACAATTTCTTGGCACTTCATGAACGTATGTGCCAAAAAAAAAAATGTATATATGTATGTATATATGAAGAAAACCATAAAATGTATTAAATGCGCATTTCACTTGAAATGCTGCGACTGCCAACGATGATTGATGAATGCCGACGAATGACAAAGAGAACTTGGCACATGGGCCATAAAACATTTTCAGCAAATGCTCATCAAGTAGCCATACGATAAATAAAAGAACCGTCCAAACATTTGATGAGATGGCAAAGGGAACGCTGTGCTGGAGACCATAAAAATGCAACGCTCAGTCAAAGACCGAAGCTCATTCAAATAGTGGCCATAGACACGCCCACGCAACCAACCAGCCACCCGCCCACACGCACGCACACACATAAAGAGCAGACAAAAGACATAAACTAAATGAAGCGCCGCACCTAATGCCAAAAAGAAGAACGTTGCGACGAGTATTTCTATTCCATTTCCATTTGCCATTTGCTATTGTCGTAACTCAATGCTATTTAAAGCCAAGTCGAAATCAAAATCAATTGTTACATGCACACACACGCACACACACACACACATACAATGAAAACTGTTTTTCCTACACAATAAATGCGAAGCAAGCGAGTCTCGACAAAAACCGAATCATGCAATCCAGTTGCTGCTTTAATAGAAAGATAATCATATAAGTTGGGAGACGCACATGAAACTACTTACCACACACACACACACACACACACATATACACAGGCATATGAATATAGTTGTGCAAACATGGGCTAACCAGACATGGTGGCACATATAACATGCCACAAACCTCAACAAATCTGCAACATTCGATTGCAACTGGTTGGTTGCTTTATGTTAAAGAGATTCTATGTTGACATATATGTACATAATCTTTGTCTGTTTTGGAAGTTCTTGAAAACGTGCCAAACTGTTTCATCACAAAATACAATGAACTCATTCTGCTGTTGGGATGCTTTCCCCCAAGCCGATTGCCACGACAACAAATTGCGTCAGCAGCGCAATCATCAACAAGATTTAATTAGCTTTTAATGCGAAATGGCAAAAAAAAAAGTGCACATCTGTTATATTTAATACTCTTTCAGGGAACTGCTGGCTTTGGCCGAACATTTAATGCCCTTATAGAGAAAAAACTGTTGCTATTCTTGTGAAAGGGTATAAAATTATATGTGTACCTGCGGGTATTTCCCGGCATTGCTCGTGGCAAGTCTTGTCCTTATATTTTAGATAAATCTTTTTCATTTTCTTTTTTCATCCAAGAGCGGTAGATTTTTCGAAGAAACATTAAATACATTTTCAAAAAGATCTTTGGAATAAGTTATGAAGCCGATCTAATGATAAACAAAAAAATTGCAAATAACCGTTGTTGCCAATGTACCAGAGGAAGCTTGAGTTTTGCGAGAAGTGCGTAAAACACGTCTTAAATGATATTTCATAAGAAAATTAATTTGAACTTCACTTACAAAATACAAAAAAGATTTTCAAAAAAGCGTGATACACCCCTCAAGTGAACTAGAACAAAGAACTTCGAAAATTGCATACAATCGCTCTGTCCGGCGAGTCTTCCACCTTGTTTATGATATGTTAAAGGGCAAAGGTCAACGCATTTTAATCCCAAATGGTTGTTTTATGGCCAATAGCTCAGTTGAGGCAACAGAAATAGACCAGACAACTACCTAATGGCATGTGTTTAATCAAGAGGAATTTATGTGTATCAACTCAAGAAGAAGAAGAAATCAGAGCCAGACAAAACAGCTGTGGAACCAAACCAGCCGCATAAATATCCATTGGACACACAAGACGAAAGTGTGAATTTGCAATTTAAATGGTCCAAAATGTCGCGCCAATATAAATCAATACAATTGCCCAGGCTCAGACATGACCATTTCTCTGCTGGAAATAAAGAATAGACTAAACAAATTAAGCTTAAGTGGTATCTAAATACGCATATCAATATGAATAATAGAGCCAGCCTTGCGGCGCAGCTGTACGAAGAAAAGGGCGACAATTTTTCTTTTGTCCATATTTGAAGGGACCAAAGTAGCCGAAAAAAGCCTCATCCACCGTACATTAAAGACGAACCGAGTCCTGCGTTCACAGCTTTAAAGTTTTATGGAACTTGAAAAACTCCAACACACTCCACAGCAAAGTTAACATACATGAGTGGGACTGAGACCAATTGGTATTTAAATATAAAGACCCAGCACTAAAGGGCGTTATTCGCCTAATTAAAAAGCTGCGCTGTGTAGCGTTCCATGGATAAATAAAAATCTATGCAACACAATACTTACTTCAAGCTTTCAATATGAGAGCATATCTACATTATTTGATCTGCTTACTAGTTCTACACAGCACGGATGCTTATGGGACACTGGAGGATCTTGCCATGTCCGTGGCGAGCTTAGAAAGCTTAATACATGCCCAAAGTCTATTTATAGACGAGCTCTTCGATTATACCCAGGCTTTGCAGACAACACTTAACACATTCGAGAGGTAACTAAACGATTGGATTAAGAGTGCAAATAATTTCTTGTTACTCGCCAGATGCTTGTTTGAAGTGCGCGCAAAGATGCAGCATTGGAGGGCTGATCCCGAGGCATATCTAGCCAATCCCTTGAACAGTTATGCGCTGATACGGCGCCTCCACGAGGACTGGAGTTACATTGAGGCGTATATGCAAAAACCAGTTGGCTCAGAGTATGCTGAAAATGTGAATTGGCTTTTTGAGGACTATGCGCCCACAGCCACAGACCTGGAGGATGCCATGAAGGCCATAATACGAATACAAGACTGCTATGATCTGGATGCGGCGCAGCTGGCCAACGGGCTGATTGATGGCAAGCAATACAAGTAGGCAACGCCTGGCTTAAATTCTTCTTATTTTCACTTTTTGTATTTTAAAGTGCCCAACTAAATGCTCTTGACTGCTTTGCTTTGGCCGAGTTCTGCACGAAGAAGCCACAGTTACACTATGCTGTGGCCTGGTACAAGGAAGCTCTTGAAAGGTATTACTATAGCCAAGATAACGAGCTATATGATACAGTTTATAAACTAACAGTGAATGATTTATATGGAAAATATGCCAACAAGCTTTCGGAGAACAGTAAGCAATACAATTATTTGAAGATCCTAAAGGAAACTGATTTGCTTCATCCACATAGATAATAATAAGGAGGCTTTAAATGTGCTCAACAAAGCCGCTGATTTACATAGTTTACTCTGGCTACAGCGAAAATTATTGGAAGATTCCGTTCGTCATACAAGCACAGGCTATAAGGTTGCATATTTTCAAATTGTAATTGAATAATATTACAATCTCTCAATCTCTTCAGTTTGAAAAAGACCCCCTGAATTCTATGCAGATCGGTTGCCGCGGCCAGTTTCCAAATTTAACGCAAATGTATTGTTACTATCAAAATTCAAAGGAACCTTTTTTAATTCTGGCACCGCTTAAAGTGGAATTACTAAACAATGAACCTTACTTGGCGCTATATCACGATGTCATCTATGAAACTGAAATTAAAAAACTATTGAGCTTAGATCTTGCCAGCATGAGACACGATCGAACTGCAGACCATAAAAACTCCGTTAAGTACACAACCGTGACGAGGGACCTGGATGATGTGCTCAATTATCGTGTTATGGATATGACAGCCATGAACGTGGCCTCCGAAAAGGACTTTCTGCTCATCAACTTTGGCATAGGTGGCCACATAAGAGCACTCTCTGAGCAGCAGGTGAGTTACAGCGAACTCATAAAGCCAAAGTAACCCAACCCTATTAAATACTTTAGCCGCAACTGGACACTGTCAGGGCCTCCATTATATTTTTCGTAAGTACCGAAGTTCCCTTTTCTTGTTGTTTTCAATCTCAAATTCCTATCTGTACGCTCTCAAGCTGAGTGAAGTGCCGCAAGGGGGCGACACTATTTTTCCAGAACTGGAAATTGCCATCAAGTCCAAAAAAGGCGCCGCATTAGTGACGCATCATTTGGACAAGCAGCTAAATATTGATCTTAGCTCGGATCATTTGTCATGCCCCGTCTTGGTGGGCTCCATGTGGAGTAGGTTCTTTAAAATTTCTTTAAAAAATTCAACTCGAAATAACTTTTTGTAATTGCAGCACTTGTTAAGTGGATATACAGATACAAAAAATAAGAGTATTTGTCTCAAGACATTTGGATATTACAGTCTATGAATTTATGTTCCGTTTGTTCACTTGATTTGGAATGGATATTAAATATTCATCAGTTAGTCTTGGCATATTAACTATGGTGTGCTTACTTAAATTTAAAGCACAATCCCATTTCTATAGCGTAACACGCCAAAGCATTGTCAGTTTACCATCCGATTGGCTGCGAAGTGCTTATAATGAGGTTCCAACTCGCAGTTTTTAGTTTCTCAATCTTGGTTTATGGCACGCTTGTTAATGGCTCTAAAAATTACACGACAGAGCTGTATAGCAGCTCCATTGTGGGACTGTTAAAGCTGTTAGATATTGAGGATAAGTTTGTGGCTAATTTGCAGGAATATGCCGAAGACCTAGAGGATAAGTTGGAAACGCTGCAAATGTGAGTGAAAGTCGAATATGAATCGTACGTTACACTGAATTCTCGTCCAGCTATTTAAGGACGCTGAATCGTGATGCTCTGAAGAGCACAAAAGAACAAGAACAATATGTCTCAAATCCGCTGAAAGCATTCGGGCTTATTCGACGCATACGTCAAGACTGGCGCGCATTACAGGACTTGACGGAGGCAAAGGCGGGTGCAGGTAATGCGGAAACATAATTTTCCACTGATTAGCAAGTATATAACATAGCCTTTGAATATCAATGCCAAGCAGCACAGCTGGCAGCTATGACAGAGCTTCTGGCCAAAGCGCCAACTGAGCATGATATGGAAGAGTCGCTGCTGGGCATAAATCGCATCGAGCTGACCTATGACCTCAGTGCAATTGACATAGCAGAAGGTCGCCTGCGAGGCAAGCAATTCAAGTGAGTTATTTGTCAGTTTCAGGACATGCCTAACCCGCCAACAATTATCCTGCAGCAATACGCTTTCGATACGTGACTGTTTGGCCATAGCTAATCACAAATATGACAACAAGGACTACGGCCGGGCTTTACTCTGGTACCACATTGCATTTAGGCGCGCTAACGAACCCAATTTCTTGGCCTACAATAAAATATTGGGTAGGCCCCTAGCCGGTATGCGTCGCAAATTTGCCAGAGCGCGTCTATTGCAAGGTTAGTAGAACGGATCTATTGATATGCCCAAATGCCTCATGACCAACTGTTGGCTAGGTATGCCGTTCATTGAGCCCACACTGAACGAAACACAAACGCAGGAAAAAGTTGATGAAATACTGAAGGCAACCAACTCAAGTCAATTGGAGAATTTCGTAAACGAACTGTTAGAACAGGAAGACGTGGACGTTTTAGGGGTAAACCTACTAAAACCGAAACCGACAGCCCATTATTTGGGCTGTCGTGGCCTTTTTGCCAGTCGCAAAAATCTGAGTTGTCGTTACAACTCGACAACCACGCCGTTCCTGCGACTGGCACCGCTCAAATTGGAGGAGATCAGCCACGATCCATATATAGTCATGTACCATCAAGTGCTGTCCGACAGCGAGATTGTGGAAATGAAGCGGCTAACTGGGCGTATGGAAAATGGCTTATCGGGTGCCGATACGCCGAATAATACAGAGCCGCTCGACATCGTAGCACGCGCTAGCTGGCTGGTGGAGACGACACCGTTTCGGGAGCGCATCAATCAACGCATCACAGACATGACGGGCTTCGATGTGCAGGATTTTTTGCCTCTAATGGTGGCTAACTACGGCATAGGCAACTACTTCCAGCCCCACTACGACTACATGTACGGTGGGCGTGTGTCTGGTGAGTCCGTTGCCGAACTGGGCGAGCGTATAGCCAGTCTGATATTCTACGTGAGTTCGTTGATGCCATAGTCATGGAATTGCATGTGACTACCTTAAAACATTACAGGCGAGCGATGTCGCACAAGGTGGGGCCACCACATTTCCCGACATTCAAGTTGCAGTTCAGCCCCTAAAGGGCAACAGCCTGTTTTGGTATAATATGTTCGATGACGGCACACCGGATCCTCGTTCTTTGCATTCCGTATGCCCTACTATTGTGGGTTCCAGATGGAGTGAGTCTGTCTCTGTGGTTTGCTTGTTAGCTTTGATAATTCCAATTTTATTCCAATAGCGCTCACCAAGTGGTTGCACATGTGGCCCCAGATGTTTATCAAGCCCTGCTTCGGAAGGCCATCAAAATAAGCCTCGAAGATAATTTAAATGATTTACTTTTAATTCCTTTAAAATTTATATATATATATCTGCTGATGTCCTTATGCATTTTTTACGGTATTGAAAGAAATGGTTTTTAGAGCTTTTTTTAAGACATGTGAAAAAGCTACCAGCTTATGGTCACGCTAGTTGTTATCGTTCTTTACTTGGCTAACACATGAAAACTGTAAACGAGCCATGCAAATGAAAACAACAAGCCATAACGGGTAACTTCAGCACGCCGAAAATAAATTACCCTTTTAGACAATGGATTACAATTTTCCAGATTTCTGTGAAGAATAATATATATTAAAGAGCAGACAAGTTTGTTCAAAATATATGACGAAGGAAAAAAGTTGCTCAAACAAAACATAATTTTCTAGCGATCGTTCCCAAGACAGTTGTGGTCCGATTCTGTGATCAGATGTTAATAAGATGTTACTTATAAGTAAAAAGCGTAGTTAAGACACCTAGAAAAAGAGATTTTCATACCAGAATTTTATTTTGAACAGTCCGTTCCTCTAGCATCTAGTGGTCCGATATATTGTTTTGATTTTAATAAGATTTTGCTGATTCGATATTGATAAGATTTTGTTCAAACGTAAGTAGCATGGTAATTCTCAGAACTTTTTTCGACCGATTATGCCCATGGCAACTGGTGCTCCGATTTTAATATTATTTTGCTTATAAGTAAGTAGCATGATGAAACTAAAAAGAGCAGAGTTTGATCAAGATATACATAGTATTTAGTTTTCAGTTTTAAAGAACATACTTTTCTACCAATAAATCCTATGACAGCTAGTGGTCCGATATAGCAAACCGGTGTTAAATCAGATTTTGCTGATTCGATATGGATAAGTCCGATATAGTTGTCCAATTTTGATTAGATTTTACAGATTCGGGCTAGATAAGATTTAGCTCATAAGCATGGCTCACTAAGCGCTAAGCATAATGAAACTTATAAAAGGCGAGTTTGGTCAAGAAAACTCTCTCTAAAGTAATTTTTCATATGGCAGCTAGTGGTCCGATATAATGTTCCAATTTTAATAAGTCTGTCTATTGGTCCGCTTTTAATACGATTTTGGTGATTCAGTGCTCATAAGATTTTGCTCAAAAGTTAGAAACATGGTGAAATCAATAAAGGCCGAGCATGCTCAAGAAATTTTTAAAAAACAAAAAAGTGTTCAAAGAAGATTTTCATTTTCGAACGATTATTCCATATGGCAGCTAGTGGTTCGATATAGTGGTCCGATTTTAATAAGATTTTGTTCATAAATAAAGAGCCAGGTTTTGTCAAGATATATGGTTTACATACAAGTTTTCAGTCTAGAACTTAATTTTCTACCGTTCATTTCTAAGATTTTGCTGATTTGATCTTGTTAAAATGTAAATCTATAATTAATAAGCATTGTAAAACCTATAAACGCCGAGTTTGGTCAAGATATCTATAAAAAAAACAAAAAAATGTTCATATATATGACACAGTGATCCTAACCATCATGTACTTAGAGGGTCGAATTTATCTCCTTTAATGTGTTACACATATCGCGTTAAAATTATAATACCCTCTACAAGTGTATACAAAATTAAAGTTAAATTAACTGCAAAGTGTAACGAATTCTTAGCCCAAGTATATATACATAAACAAACCCTACGCTCGAATAGTATTTCCAGCCAGAAATGACGTGGTTTTCAACTTTATGTTACATTTCTCTCATATGTGCTGCTTTTTGCACAGCAGAAATGGAAAATCAAATGTTTCTATACAGCACATCTGTTGGAAGCATGTCGAAGCTGGTGCAAATGGAAAATAAGCTGATGAGTCGTTTGCAAGTTATTGCCAAGGACATGCAGCAAAAGCTAAATATGATAAGGCTGTAAGTGCCAGTGGAAAAGTAACTGATTCATCGCTTTACATCCAGTTACTCACAGCTTCCAGCAAATGTTGAAGCGTTCACCCGAGGACAGTTACGAAAAGCACGAGGAATTTGTGGCAAATCCGCTAAACGCATTCGCACTACTTCGAAGGTTGCAGCAGGATTGGCCCAAGTGGCTGATGTATCTGAAGACTCAACCCGAAATAGAAGAGATGCAGCAGGAGATGCAGAAGGCGCCAAGCGAGAAAGATTTGCAGACAGCAATAAAAGGCTTGCTGCGCATTGAGAGAGTCTATGATCTAGAGTCATCGCACATGGCCAAGGGCCTGTTACTAGGCAAACAATACGAGTGGGTAGAGTATAGACCGGCTAGCTCTTAAGCTAGAATTCACTTGGAGATTTTCTCTTCTTCGCTGCAGCTCATTTCTCACTTCGCCCGACTGCGAAGCCTTGGCGGACAATCTCTTTAATCGCACCGAGTATTCGAGATCTACGCACTGGTACCGCACTGCAATACGCCTGTACAAAAAGCCATATGGAAAACTGTACAATCGTGTGCTGGGCTTAAAGCGCAAGGGACTCAACAGAAAGTATGCCCAGGCAATTGTCTACGATCGTAAGCAATTCGAATAGTATCTCTTAATATCTCGACTAAATATATGCCTGACAGCGGATGTCTCACAGGAGCCGCAAGTGGCTGGTGTAGCGCCCGAATGGAAAGATAATGTAGATAATGTCATCAAGCAACTCGTCAGTCAGTCCAGTAGCGACCAAATCCAATATATGGTCGATAAGTATCTGGCAGTGGACGAGCAAATTTTCATTGATCAGCGAGCTAAACACAAAGCAAAGCCCAATGCAGTGGAGAAGGGCTGTCGCGGACTGTGGCCAAAGCGGGAGACCCATCCGTTGACCTGTCGCTACGTTCAGAGGAGCTCGGACTATCTCATGCTGGCACCTCTGAAGATGGAAATCCTGAGTGTGGAACCCTTAATACAGCTATATCACGATGTCCTGCACGACTCTGAAATCGAAGCTGTTAAAAATGCGACAAATCATCGGGAAATGGTTGAGAATGTGGCCAGCACAGTAAAATCGATTACATTGAAGGATGCGCCACATACACAAAACATAAATCGTAGAATTACAGATATGACAGGCTTGGATATGGCACAGAATAAAGCGCTTCATTTGCTCAACTTTGGCCTGGGCGGTTATCTGGGTAAACAGATGAAGTTGCAAGGCAATCGCATAGCTACAGTAATTTTCTACGTACGTAAGACAATTCGGAATATTTAAAGTTCTTATATAGACCATCATTTGCTATAACAGGCTAGCGATGTTCTGCTCGGTGGCGCTACCATATTTCCAAGGCTGCAGCTCGTCGTGAAGCCAAAAAGAGGCACAGCCTTGTTGTGGTACAATTTGAATGTAGGGGGTAAACCGGATCCGCTGACAAGGCATGCCGTCTGTCCTGTGGTCGTGGGTTCCAGATGGGGTAGGCTTTCAACACACACAACTGCGAATAAAAGCAAACTATATTAAACTTGTTACAGCTTTATCGAAGTGCATAGAAGATCAACAGCAGCTGCCCAAGAAGCTGTGCCTGGCCTGAATATCGAGTTTTCTTATAAAAGATAAAATGTTAATAAACAGCTCAATGCTAACAAAAGTGGATCAATGCCGCCACTCTTATCCCCTCCTCCTCACTCTCTTGCAGGCGTCACTAAATTTGGGGTGTTTAGGCGAAAACTGAACTGAATTTCCAGCAGGCAGCTATCTGCTATATCGCAAGCTTATGTGCTTGCCCCAAATACCATTTAGCGGAAGTGCACACTTCAATAATGGAACGGGCGACGCAAAGTGGCAAGTGGCAAGTGGAAAGTGGCACCCGAGTGCAGAAAGGACAAGCACAATGAAAGGCGCATTGACAATGGCGCGCTCGCGAGGTACTTAAAGGAAAACAACGCACATTTTTCACCCGGCGCAGACAAGGATGTGCCCAACTGATTTAATGTGCAATGGTGCAATGCGTTGAACTGATGGCAACTGTTGCCTTGCCATGAAACTTTTCATGAATATTTTAGGCAATTGCATAATTTACAAGAGCAGCAAGAATCAGGCGCAAAAGTGAGTTGGCGACTGCTCGAGTCGGCAAACTAATTGCCAAGATTACGCCAAACTTAAAATGCAACGGACAGCGGGCCGGGGCTCAAATAGCTGCACTAATTGGAAACATTTTCAACTGCAACTGCCAGCTCTTAAATAGTGCTAATACTTGGTTAAGTCGCGATACCGAAACTTACAATGGGGTCGGGGTTATAGCCAGACGGAACAAGTTGTCGGCTGTGAGTGTTGCGGGCAAATAAAATCAGCATGAAAGCAATTGTGCAACTCACTCAGAAGTGTCCCCGAGGCTAAAAAAAACACGCAGACACACAGGACAACGGAAATTAGACACGGGGCCAGAGCTGGAGCTAGTGCCAGTTGAGGCAGTCAAGGGTAACAAGCGTATGGGGCCCCCAACTGCTTTTCAAATGGGCAACAATGAAAGAGAACTGACGCCTGGCGGCGGCTACTGCTAGTTGGATTTAGAAATGGGAATGCATTTTAGTGCAAACTACATGTGCATAAAGCGACACACCAATTTACTAAGAATAATTAAAGATATTTTAAATTGTGCAATAACAATAAAATAAACCGAATCTTTTCCCACTGGCAATCAACTGTTTCCATGGGCTGCAATTGTATAACGTGATTAGAAAGATTAAATCAACATCACATTTAAGCCGAAATACTCCCAATATTATCATGTTTCTGACGTCACATTATTATGAGCAACGGATTGCTGGAAAAATCATTGCTTAAAAGGTTGGTCAGCCATCAAAAGACACTCCAAGGCTGCCGCTTCAGTCGAGAAGTCAATGGAGTTTATTGAATGACTATGCAAGCTGTTGAGTCGAGTAAGAACTTCAGCAAAAGTAAATCGCTGCTGAAGCAGATGCAGTGTAAAGCACAGTATGCAGAAGATCCAAGCAGCAGCAAAAGCTGCCAGTTGGACTCGGGGGGATATTGTTGGGCGATTTGAACTTTTAAGTGATTGAATTGTTATCAGCGACATGAATTTGTTTGGCCATTTGAATGATGTCGCCCTGGGACTGGAATTGAAGCTAAGCGCTGCGATAATGGTCCCTAAAGGACAAGTTAAGCGAAAACTCTTTACAATTGTCAACTGTTCTTGAGATACTCAAAGCGTTGAATAAATTCTGCAAGCAATACGCGAGCTGGCTGGTCGTGTGGCGCATCCTGTGAAATAACTGACGCCGCTGTTGCCACTTCAAAGAGATGCATACCTTATGTTGCAAGCAGCTTGAGCTGTGTTACAAATTGAGGGCGTAGTGTGTGTACGGCACCTGCAGGGAGAGATGGGGAGTTAAATCGGTGCAGCACTAACAACACTTAACTTACTTGTTGCCAAGTCATGGCCGCCAACTGCTTTAGCTGCGCTCTCTGCCACATATGCCATACGCCACTTGCCACTTGCCACATGCCACATGCAATAGCTGTACTGTGTCAAGCTGCTGGGTTATGCCTTGTGCCTGATGTTTCCTTTTCCCAGCTTATGTTGAACCTCTTGCCAAGCTGCCGACGACATTGAGCACTTCATAAATGCCAAGTTTGAACGGCGTGCCGACTCCCGAGTGTATCTGCGTGTGTGAGTGTGAGGTGTGTGCAGGTGCCTAACGTGGGCTTGTTATGTTGATTTAAGGCCAGACGCTGTCAGCCGTATTTAGTCAATATGGTATAGATTAATGGCACAAATTGGGTTTACTCTAGAATTATTATTATATTAATCTCAAGCATTACAAGAACGTGTTTAAGCATAGCTTATTAATGGATACACATGAAATGTACACAAAACTAATTAACGTATTGCTGAATGTCAAATCCAGCTACAAGTCATCGCCGTCATTTGGCAAATTGGCATCCTCTATTTTGCGGATTTGCTCCCAGCTCAACTTCGATTCCCTGACATCCGTGATGGGTGCCGAGCAGTATGGACAATAGCGAAAGTCCATCAAAAAGAATTCCTGCACAGATGACCATTCACAATGCTTAATAGAAAAACTCACTATGAAAAAAATACCATTCCCGCCACTTACCGAAGGATGCACCTTGCAATGCTCACTTATGCGTCCATGGAAATAATGATGACAGCGCTGGCACTCGAATGCCTTCTGCGGGCGGAAGCAGATGCATACGTGCACCTCATACTTGTAATCCGATGGCAGCTCATATTTCAGTTTATTCTTTCCGTCATTGCTGCTGTTGTTGTTGTTGTTGTTGTTGTTGTTGTTATTTTTAATATTATTGTTGTTGCTGCACCAGTTGTTGTTCTGGTCGGCATATTCATTTTGATTGGAGTTCATCATTTTTAAAGTCAACTGCCAATTAAGAGAACAAAATGCATATATACATATATATACATGTAAATATCGTTGATCTTACTCTAGACGCTTTTGTACTTTAACCAATTCGCTTGAAATGAATATAGCACAGAACTTTTAATGCATGACATTAAATAAGAAGCCTTGTGATTTGACATATTCTTTACAACTCCAACTTTCATTCATACATACATATGCATAAATGCGTGTGTATGTATGTATGTATTTATGTATATGCAAAAGAACGCAAGTTTGCCTTTTTACAAATTAAGTGTAATCAAGTGTGTGTGATTATATTCAAACCAATTAACATAATTATACTGAGTAATAACTCAGTATCGATTACCTTATAATGAAAACGAGTGCGTTTAAATAAAAAGAATACGAATTCTTTAATTGCGCACAATTGCGACGCGGCTTCTTTTAACTAAGCGACCAGTGTTGACTACCTTCGAAAAGCAATAAGTTAGATAAATAAACAGCTGCATTTCTTATGCAATGTTTTTCTATCAAATATTTCATTTTACCTTGTTTACCTTTCCGGTTGCAGCTAAAGCTGTTGTTTGCGATTGTCGCAAATTTCTGAATTAATTACTTATCTACCGTTTTTTCAAAAGGCCACAGCCAATTGGAAAGCAGCCGAACTGGCAACGCTATCTCTGGAATGCTTTAAGTAACGGTGCTCATCAGTGCTGTAAAATGCTTAAAAAACATGTGCAATTGCTTTTGTATTTTCACACACACATGCATACATACAGAATGACGCACTTTCAAAATAACAGATACATACATACATACATATGCACATATCAATTTGAAGCCATGCACTTATGCACATACATACATATGTAATCAAAGCCATTGTTCCCAAGGAACAAAATGTGTGTTTAGATACACAATCGTATCAATATATTTATTGATTTCATTGTTCATTTGTTTACATATACTTTGGTATTTGTATTTGATATTGAGTGTCGTCAACGACAATTTTCTTATACATATCTTTATTGTTTCACATTTGATCCGCCGCCATTCGCAAATCTTTAGCAGCAGCTCCGCAGAAAGCGCAATTGCGTGCATCCATAAGATAAGCAATCTGTGGATATAAAAAACTGATCGCTGCTTTTATTCATATATACGCATGTGCGTAGTTTAATAGTTTACTTCTGGATGCGCGAGACAACGCTCCCCGATGCGGCCCACAAACGATTTCTGGCAACAAGTGCAGATAATCAATCCGCGCTTGCGATGACAAATGCAGCTTTCTGGACAACTCGCCTCCGACTTCTTATAGACGGAGAATGATGATGGCACCGATAGCCAGGAATATTTCTTAGATTTACCGTTGCCTCTTTGAATTTCCATTTTGAGGTTTTTATTTTTGAATTGACTCGATCGTTCACTCGGCTTATTTTTCATCGACTGGCAGTGCTGTAAAATATTTTCAGCCAGCCGCGCAAGTTGTGGGTATTCCTGCATTCGAATAAAATTGTGTTGATATGCTTTTCAAACTATCGGATTAAAGTTTATTTATTTTAAATTGAAAAACTGCGCAATACTCTGTTTGCAGTGTAATAACAACTTCAAGCATCATATCTTCTAGACTCACTGGCAAAATGGAAGACTATATAAGTCCGTAACTGTATTAGCAGGTATGGAGAAAAATCAAGTTTCAAGTCTCAAATTTACGGGCAGCCTAAATATCTCCGTTTCATTGGACAATGTGCAAAACGAATACACTCTATTTCACTTTTAAAACAGAGCAATTTGAAAAACATTTATCACGCTCGTGAGCTAAACAGAATATAAGATTGGTTGTTGTCTTTGCTAACAAGTAACCCTTGTGCTTAGCCTAGACACAAACATCGAAGCATACTATTGTCATCTCTGTCTGACACGTGTTGCATGCGCTTCCAAATATACACACAATATGTAACAATCAGCGCCGTCGCAGCAATGAGAAATATACAATATGGCGATCCACCTTCAACTGGCTCGTTGGTCTAGGGGTATGATTCTCGCTTCGGGTGCGAGAGGTCCCGGGTTCAATTCCCGGACGAGCCCAAGTGGTTAAATGTAATTATTTTGTACTTTTTTTCTTGTTACAAAAATCTGATTTCAATTAGTTTGCTGCAATTTACAAAGAGAAACAATTAAATTGCCGCCTTACAAACAAAACAAGTAGCTGCTCTATTCATCAGATAATTTGTTTTGTTTAAATTGTTTCGAGTTCATGAGTAAGAGCAAAATTGTGATATTTCGTTTTGTTTCATTCTTGCTTCGCATTTGGTTGCTATGCATAATTTCTTGTTGTTGTTGTTGTTTTGTGTTTTTTTCTTTTTTTTCTTTTCCTTTGTTTTACATACATAAGCATTTTTGTTTAGCATTCGTTTAGTTTTTAGCATTATGTGCTGGAAATACTTAGAACAATATGGTTTTATTAATTAAGATTAAGATTTGTTGTAGGCGCTGCCGCGTTCTTGTCTGCTTGGTATTTGTATTTGTATGTGTGTGCGTGTGTATGTGTATGCTACATGCGCTGTCACCATGAGGGCGTGCGCGCGTGTGTGTGTGTATCTGTGTGATTTGTGTTTGGGGGAGAAACAGTCTCAATGGATGCAATTGGCTGCCGCTGAACTTGTCTCCATTACCGCCAGCTCACTCGTATTCCAGAACATTCTTATGATAGAATAATAAATAACTGCAAGGAGTGGATAAAGAGAAATAAATAGATTGGTATATATGAATGTATGTATGTCTGTATGGGATATATTCCAAGCAGCCGCCAACTCACCCCTCGCTGTCGAGCACCTGTTTGAGCGAAGCCATTGTTATCACATGATCATCGCACTTGACCCACGTGTCCTTCTGGTGACGCACATAGGCCGTATAATGGCCGGTGTCTATGGTGCCCACATGATTGACGACCGCGTACAGAGAGAAACGAAAGTCGCCATAGGCATTGTTTTTCTCGGACATAAATGGCGTCATATCGAACTCGACGGGAAACTGAATGAACGACGATATTTTGCGGTCGATCAGTGCCGAATGCTCGAAACGCTTCAGATGGAACGAGACGACGCTGGGCAGGGTGCGCAGGCTAAATTGTTTGGTGGACTCTTGGTACGATTTGCAGGTGGAGCATTTGATTTTGGCCGCCGAGCCGAGATGCTCGGCACGCGTATAGCGCTCCAGGCAGTCAATCAGCGTCTTCGGCGTGACGCCGCCGTGCGTTGTTGTCTCGCCGAGATCCAGTGAGATGTCCCAGAAGGGATCGAATGTGGTCGAAACGCCATTGCATGCCTGGCACACCACATCGCTCTGCAGCATGCCCGTAAAGATTTGATCGATAATGCAGTTGCACTGGCCATAGCAATGCGTGGCCGTTGCATTGGAACTTGAGCTGGAATTGCCCCCCGATGCGCTCGAGCTGTTGCTCTTGCTCTCGTGCTCCGACTTGGCCTTCACACAATGTCGATGCAGCACGTCCAGCGTCGCTATGAAAAACTCGTGCGCATCCTGCTGCTCATAGCCGGCCAAATGCTTCGCATGGTTCCAAATCAAATGCAGCAAACGATGCAGCGACAATGGCGAACGTGAGCCCGAATAGAACTCCTAAAACGAAAAGCCCAAAATCAAAACGGCCGCAACTGGACATAACTGAAAACCGCGCATGCGCTTACCTGGAAGAGACGCGACACCTCGCACACCAAGCACTTGTGTGTGGCCTTGCTGCCACAGTCGTGGCGATCCGACATGAAATAGTCGCTCAACAGCGGAGTGTGCACCAGAGCCTGCGAAGGAGTAGTTAATCGAAAAATAAAAAATCCAGGCATATATAATATCTCTCTTAATTGGAAAGAAAACATGCCAAAACCGCAATTTAAAGGGGATGGTTCCTACGACAGCTATATGATATAGTAGTCAGATATTTAGAATCTGGCTGACTGCGACATATGCTAATGCCTACACCTAATAGACGAATCCCTGCGAAGTTTGATTAAGTTGGGTCTTAAAACAGATTAACTAGTTTTCATAGCAATAGGCTGTTATTAACGATCTATATATACTTAAGAGCTTCAGTTAATGTTGCCAATTTACTTTTTTTTAGTGCAAAACAGCTAGATTTAGAGTTCGTCAGCCAGAAACAGTTGAAACTTTAAACTGATTTAGCTATTTTATGGCATCTCAAAGAGAACTAATTACTAGTGAGAGCTAATTTAGCTACTTTTAGCTGTTTCTAACATTGGATTCGGCTACTTTTTGCGTTCGTGGGCAACACTGTTTTCAATGCGTACACATTTCGTTACAAACTTATAAAATAATAGTCGATAGCAGTTTGTCGAAATTATCGATTCTTTCCCAATGCCAAAACTTGATAATAGGACCTGTTCGATTGGTTAGGGCTGGGCACTCGTATATAAGTTAAGGCTTTAATCGAATAGCAGCCAATTTTTTCTCTCTCACCTGGACAATGCAGTTCATGAAGCATGTCGCACCCAGATTAAGCAGTCCACGCAAACCAATCGTTTGATTGGGTCGCACCAGACGACGGCGTGCATTGGCCAGCAGCAGATTGGTCTCCTTGGGCGTGGGTATCCAGGGCTGCCAGCCGAGGCTCTTCTGCAGATCCTTGGCCTCCAGCTTGCGATTGATCAGCGCGTACTCGCGACTGCGCGCATCATAGATAAAGTCCCGACACGCATAACAGTACAATGTGCCATGGGACAGCTCCAGTGCGATGTTGTGCTTCTTGGCGCGCAGGTGGCTAGTTATGTGCGCACCGCGGCAGCCAAAGTAGATGCAGTGCAGGCAGGCGTACAGCTGGATGCCATAGCTGCCGCACTCGAAGCAATTGCAGTGTATGGCCTATGGACAGGGGGGAACGCAAAAAAGGTGGGAGGGGTGGATGGTTGAGGCGCTGGTTTTGCCCGCTGCTGCCGCTTACCTTTTTCTCACGCGCATCCTTGTTGACACAGGCGGCAAAGTAGGCATCGATGACCCGATAGGTATCGTAGCTGTGCTCCTTCACGTAGGTCTGATAATGCCGACAGCCCGTTTCCGACATGACGTTGGCGTCGACGTCAACGGCGCTGCTGCTGCTGACGTTGACGCTAGCGTTGGCGTTCGCGTTTGCGTCAAGCTCAGAGGCAAGCTTTTGCACAGTGCGCAAATAAACGGGAACTGACAAATGCGTCGCATTCAGTGGCCCCTTTGTTAGCTGTGCGCCTTCGACACCCCCGCCGCCCCGCCCACCACTAGCAACAGTTTCGTCGGCCGGACACCGGCCGGCAGCTGCCTGTGTTGTTGTTGTACTAGTTGTAGTTCTAGTTGTTGTTGCTGCTGCCGCCGCCGCTGCTGCTGCTGCTGCTCGTGGGTTTGTGGACGCTGCTGTTGGGGGTACACGGGGTTCAGGTACAACGTCGGCCGCTCCCCGGCCGACCGACGCGTATGTGCGCTTGTTGTTGTTGTTGCTGCTGCTGGCTCTGCTGCCGGCGCCGCTGCTGCTGCCACTGCCACTGCTTAAAATGCTTGTTGTACTATCAACGCTATTCTCTTTTGTTTTCGTTCGTTTTGCAGACGGCTGTGGCACGTTGGTTTTATCACTCTTGCGCTGTTTTCGCCGAATTTTGGCCACTTTTATGCTGAACACGGACACGAATTGTGTAAAATAGGAACTTTGTTTTTGGGCCGTTGATGAGTTTTCTGTTTTTTCAAAGACTCTGATTTTGCACACGCACACACACACAAATACCACAGCGCACACACGCACAAACACACACGCACACATGCATGGAAGCAGACACAAACATACGAATATGAGCAGCGAAGCAGAGCAGCGCACACAGCTGAAGTCGACTCGGGAATTGTTGATATTATATCGATACCAACGATGGTTTTCCTTTTTTGTCTTGTGCGCGATGTTTTCATATACCGATATATGAGTGGCGAAATAATCGAAAGTTTTGTACAAATTAACTGCTGTAAGAATAATTACTATGATTTAATAAGTACATTGTTGACGTACAAAATATTTCGCGGCAAGCCGCCAATCTTATTGTTTTTTTAAATCAACGTACAATTCTGTTAGTATTTTTGAAAGCGACTATTTTTGCAGTGTGACCATAATCTACTAGAACCAAGAACACCACCGCAATTACAAAAATAATACTGTATCGAATTAATAACCATTAGAAATTTCCTGCCCAAACATTTTATTCTTGTTTACAATACGTAAGGGGCACAAAATAAATTATGGAAAAGGTTTGCCGCGTGTGCCGAGACGGCGGAGGTAATCTAGTGGACATATTCGCCGACCAACCCGATCAGACGGACGAACCCAGTTTGGCGGAGATGCTGAGCGAGTGCACGAACTGTGAAGTAACCCAAAATGATGCACTACCTCAACAAATGTGCGAGTCGTGCGTTCTCGCTGCTCAAAGTTTCTTTAAATTCAAGCGAACGTGCGAGGAGAGTCATCAGTATTTCATGCAGCAGCTGGACGCCAGGGATATGCTTGAAACGGACGATTGGCCACTTTCCGAGTGGGCCAAAAATATGATGTCTGTTAAGAAAGAAGAAGAGCAGTGCGAAGAGATTTTGGATTCAAAAATAGATATCTGCGAATACACAGAAACGCGATCAGATGATTGGCATTCCAACTCCAATGCCAATCCTATTTGCCTGTTTGAAACCAAATTCATCGATTGCGACATGAAGTGCGATGTGAGCTGCAAAAGCTCCTTTAGCGAGGAATTAATTATTCCCTGTTCTAATACTGATAAAAAAGCCCACTTCTGTGCAACGTGTGGCAAGGAATTTCCAACCAAAAGGAAACTCAGCCTGCACGAGAGCTTCCATGCACGCCAACGGAAACACAAATGTCAGCTGTGCCCAAAGAAGTTTGTCAATCCAGGAAATCTTGAGGATCATATACGCGCTCACACCGGCGAACGCCCCTATAAGTGTCCCCACTGCGTCAAGGCATTTACCCAGCGTGGACGGCTCAACGAGCACATTCGCATCCACACCGGCGAACGTCCGTTCAAGTGCTTGGAATGCCCGAAGACCTTCGCCAATGCAGGAAATCTGACGGTGCACAGACGAATCCACTCGGGCAATCGGCAGTACAAGTGCAACCAATGCCAGGCGTCCTATGTCCAGCCTGCAGCCCTCCAAAGACACATGCGCGTGCATCTGAATGACGAACGTCCATTCAAATGCGACATCTGCTTCATGCCCTTTCCCAAGAGCTCGTATCTTAAGAGACACATGAAGAGCCACACAGATACGAAACATCTTTTACAAGATGAAAATGACTTGAACCCTTTGAAAAATGTGTAAAACCCTTTTGGGACACATGATAACAGTACTGAAATTTCGCTTTCTCGATAAATTCGAGGCGAAGAGAACGAAAGGTCTGAACCCAATTGACTGACTTACAGGAACAATTTAAAAAATCGTAAATTAACCAAAATTTAAACCTATTAATAGCTTAAATATTTATTTCTTAAATAGGTGAAGGGTACTTATTTTTTTAAATTATAGTCTACCTAAGAAAATCTTGAAATTGGATTTAAAATAAAATAATCAGAGAAAATATATATATTTTATTTGAATTTGTACTATTATTGATACCTTATAACAAATAGCTAGCTTAGTCTCGTTGGCCGCATTTCAAAGTCAAGAGCTCGTTCCAGAGCTAAATCGCTTTCTTATTCAGATAAGCCTGTGCTTCTTCGACCTAAATGGACAAGCAGTATATAGTCACAAGAATAAAGCATATAATCTTTTACATACAGTCTTAAACCATGCCGTCGCGGGTCTAAAAACCCAACGAGACAGAAAACTCATCTCGGAGCGCGGCGCAATTCCATGCATGTGCAAATGCTTCACAGAGATGAATGGCGGGAAATGGAATCCAAAGAGAGCATCCGTTGTATTGATACCTTTTGATGTTAAAAAACTCTTGAGGCCCTCCTCCATGCGAAGCACTAGAAATTATATATGTTAATGTCAGTACACAATTATATAAACATGCATATATATAAGTATGTTTAATCTACTAACCCATTTTTTCGTGCGATTGGTTGAGGACCTTTAGACTGTCATAATGTTGCTTTGTCACAATAAGATAATGATGTCGCGATGCCGGCCGAATGTCTTTAAATATGGCAAATTCGTCAGTCTCCATTTCCAAAATTGTTTCAGTTTTGCCATTTGAAATATCACAGAATAAGCAATTTTGATGGGCCATATTAGTCGACCAAGCAAAGTTTACAAATAACAAAACTGAAAACAGCTGCACAACTATCGATGTACCTATCGATACCATCGGTAGCAGTTTGAAATATTTGTCGATATTTTTAAGAATTTCAACTATTGTATAGACAGTTGTATTTATCGATACATGGCTTACTCAGTAACAGTAAAATTGCTACTGTGTGGGTGCATCGTTATTCATAGTTTCGCGCAATTCAAATAAAAAATTAAGTTTACAAAACGCAAAAGCATATATGAATATTAAACAAGTTTACCGCGTTGCAGTGACTAAAAATGGGATATTGATTGTAAATTTAGTGCAGAAAACATATAAATCAGAGCACGATCGCATTTTTTCACGACGCAATTGGAACTGGGAAGACGAATGGAAGGCAAAGCGAAATGGTGAGAATTTACAGTTATTTGAGTTCTATGTGAAATAAGGCGTTTGCTATTAATGTATGTTTGTATGTTAATAGAGTTAATGCAATAATTATTAGCGCTAAAGAATGGGGTGATTTTTGTTGATCGCCTGATGCAGAATCGACACCCTGTATATTTTCCAATATAGTTTACCGGCCAACTCGTAACAGCTGAGCGCTAAAGCTGCAGCTACCGCTCGGAGTGTACTCTCGAATTTCAGCTGCTCTCTTGGCTATCCCTTGCTTTGTGTCGCTCGGCGCTTTTAACGTTTTTTCTCCAAGCCGCTTAAGCAGCTGTGCTGCTTTCGCACTGAGTCTGGTTGTTGTTTTTTTTAGTTTGCTGCGCGCTTGCTTGGCCGCTCGCTTTGCCGCCTGTCTGCTCACAGTCTGAGTTTGGTACGCAACGCGTTCGCAACGCGCGCGTTTTTATTATTCGGCCCGATCGCCGTACACTTGGTACTCAGTTTCTTTTGCAGAGTTTCTTCGCGCAACTTTTGACGACGTGTGCTGCAGCGTACTTTGCGGCTAATTATTGAATTAAATTCAATTTAAAGTGAGCAAAACTAAAGCCAAGCGGAATAATTGAGCATTTTTTAGCATATGTAAGAAAGTGATAACGGTTTTTTAAATTGGTGAAAATTCATGCATACCGAAAATAAGTGTGCCTACATTATTATTTTACGAAATTGAAAAAAAAGATTACCAAAGAGAGCTTTCAATAACTATGAGACAAATGGAACTGTGGTAGTCAGGAATTAAGTTTTAACATAATTGAACGATTGCATTAGATAAACTCTGCAAAAATGAAATAGACCTGTGGTATTTCAACCCAAAATGTGATTTCTTTACATTTTGGGTCAATCAAAAGATTGAAAGCTTCAAGCAGCGTTTTCGATCGTTAAGATGACAGGAAATTGAATACACTTGTGTGTTTTGATTGGCATTGAAGAAATCAAGCTCGATTTGAGCAGAAAAATCATGTTTGAAAACTCACTGGAATGATTTTTGGTCCCGCCCCCCATGCAATTGTTAATCGTTCACAAGCTTAACGCCGCCAGCCCACCATATACGCCCATATAAAGCCCACAGCAGCCCAATCAAACATTAGTTTCTTCAACTGGCTAACCAAAATTGCCAACTTCCTGTAAATCGTGTGTCTGTCGAACGGGGCGCCGAGTCATTAGCTCCTCGTCATGCCCACTCAAAGTACCGCTATGCGCCGGCTAGTCGTCGTATCTGTAGAGACGCGCATGTATCTTTAGCCAGCTACACACACATGGGGAGACTGGGCACAGGTCTCGCCGATCCCGGCTGCTGTGGCCCCTTCACTTTTTTTTTTGGTTTTTCTGCTCAGCGAAAAAGTTGGCGCGGCAAGTGCATTTCGCATTCCGCTGGCCGAAAGTCTCTTACGAGTTTTGCATCTCTGCATCTTAACTGTAAATTGAGGCATGGCCTCTCTCTCTCTCTCTACCCCTTTATCTCTCTCTTGGTCTCGCGCTGCATTTCTTTTGTCGTCAAGTTCAATGTGCGTTGACAATTTTCCATTTCGAAATGGGCTGGCAACGGTTTTCCACTTTGTTTTTCGTTGCGTACTTTCACACACACACACACACACACACGCACACACAGCAATTTCCATTGTATTTGGGCAGCTGTGCGTGTATTTTAATTTATTTTAAATCGATCGCCAATACAAATCATTGGTGCATATGTCGCGAGGTCTGCTAATGCGCCACTGTCATTCAACCCGGAACTGTGACCCAGCGTTAATGTTAAAGATTCATTCCGATTTTGTCGCCCGATGCTAAAAAATCATATGGCAAATCATGGATCAGTACAAACTGCAATCTTTTTGTGAAAGCGCAAGTTGTTTTTGTTTCTGTAAAGTGTAATTTTTACACTTTTACCGCACTTACATACCTAAAGATACATAACTGCATAGATACAAAGATACATGGATACTTTCGTAAGCATCTTTTCACTATTGCCAACGTATTTTGTCGTGTTAAAGCCGCTTAATTGAAAGTCTTGACTTATGACTCGAGCGTTAAATGTGTGTGTGTGAGTGTGTGTATGTGTAAAAAGTCGAATGGAAAATGAGTTTTCCAGCTGCGCAGCGCCAGAAAAATAACCATAGACAGTTGCATGTAAAGTACGTGTGTTGTAAATTAAAGTGAAATTTAATATGCAGTTTTGATCAGTTGATAAATATACGTATATTGATAAATTGCTGGCAAATATACGCGACAAGACGAGTTATTAGAGACTTGCAAAGTGTTGAAACGTCGTATATTTTTTGATTTGCATCTTTAACAAAGTAAAGCCCAAATATCATATTCCCCCCAGTGTGTTACAATAAAGAAACGCGAAGCAAAACTAAATAAATCAAGAAAAATTTAGCATATTATAATCAGCACAAATAAACAAAGTTTTAAACAAAAACAAACGTCAAATCAAAACAATAAACAACAAATTTGTATAAATAACCAAATGCTGCATTCGCATCAATTTTATGTTTATCATTTTATTTTCATTGTGAATGTGAAAGTGGTGAAAAATCACGGCTATATTTTCAACTAGAAGACACGCTTGTCGGAGTAATACAAAAGGCAAAGCAGAGAAGAAAGAAAGATAAAGGTAAAGCAAAGCAAAGCACACAAAATATATAAATAATAAATACGTACAAATAATTTATAAGTTAAACGAAAGCTTCAACCCAGACACCACCCTGATGATGATCATTTGCTATTCAGATGATCTTCTGGCTCGAAATATTCAGCTTGCTTGTTATGCCTATTGACGGCATCGGGAGCTATAGACTCTGTGAGCTCATCTCGTCGTTCCAGCGTGAAAGATCAGCAATAAACTTGTTCAGGTCGCACTCATTGGGCAAATGACTCATTTCGACCGTTTTGGCATTGTCTCGTTAACTGTTTCTAATGTTAACGTTTTTGTGTTTATAATTATTTCTTTTTTTTAAATTAATTTTTGCATAATTTTGTGTGCAGCGTTGGTCAGCTGCGAGTTGATTTCCAGCCAAAGGCACGTTTCGCTGACGCGAATCAAATAATGCAAAAGTTAATATGTGGGTTGTACACATGTTGCTGTTTTTGTGTATTCTTCATACTTAGTAAAACTAGCTGTGTGGGGTATAATACGCACGTAAGTCATATACAAATCATTTTATCAGATGATCTAGTTAATACTTGAATAGTTTGTTGATGACACTCGCTACTGGGTATCTGCAAGTCAAGCACTTTCGAAATATTTGCTTTACTTTCCACACGGCTGCACATCTTTTACGCAACTTGTCAGCGCTCAATGTCAAGGTTGTTGTCGGATTTTTGATATTTGTTTATACATGTATACTTAAACCGTCCCGGCTTTTGCCAGGTCTGTGCGAGTAGGCCCGTCTGAGAGACAACCGCCTGCCTGCCTAACTGGCTTATTATTGCGGCCGCTAATTGCGGCTCAACACTTCTCGAGTGGAACGCCCCGATGTTGTTTTGGCATTTTGTAATTGCTTCATTTCGGTAACGTGTTGCGGGCATTTAATTGGAGCTCACGCCTAAATGGTAAATTTGAGCAGATCAAGATAATGGGAATGCTCAATCCTATATGGCAAGATTAGGGGCATTAACTGGGTATTATTTAAATGTAAATTTAACAAGTATGGTTTTTGTATATTCATGAAGAGTTTGTAGAGTCGTCCGCTTTTATCATAGTTGTCAGGCTACATATAAATCAGTTTAGCCCTATATTCTGCCACTATCTCCATACATATTTTCATATTTAAATTTATCTTAACGTATCTATCATATTACATCGATGACCCTCAGCTATTCTTGAAATCTTAATTATCATTGAAAATTATCGCGCTATTTCAAGGCTATTATTAGCCATCGATAATTGTGTCATCTCTCGATGAAAAATGCATTCATCACTATTGTTTTTTTTTTGGTAGACTTCATCAGCTTTTGTCGTATTATTAACCATATATAAAAATGGTTTATTAATTATTAACTCATTAGGACAAAAAGCGGCCCAAGGTTTTGGCCCCAGGTCACGCATGTGTTGGGCGATACCGTTCGAAGTGTTCTCTTGCCTCTGCAGAACCGTTAATTTCACCTAGAGCGCAAAAGCGAGCCAAACTCGTCTCTCGTTCTTGAAACTATCATAAATTTGACTTTTTAATGACAAAGAAACATTTTTTATGCGTTTTTTTATGTGTGAAAATGAAGCAGAAAGCATAAAAGAGAGCGCAGCTAAAGCAAAAAGCCAAAAGGGCGCGGAAATACATGAAACAATAGATATACTCTGAGTGCCGCAAATTTAATGCTCTTTCTAGAACATATGAAATTTACGAAAAAGTATTCAAGTGTAGTCTATTTAAATAGTAGAAAAAGAATCTGACTTAAAATATATTTTGCATCTTACTCATTTATAGGGAAAAAACTAGCCAAAGCTGGTCCTAAGCTAGACTAGAATTTGTTTTTTGTTGAGCATATTAACCGTATCCGATCCAATATTATCTATATGCTCGAATAATTGATCCAATTCAGGTTTTATACTATATACGAGCTTGCATACATTTTTACTGAAAGTTATGTTTAGTACATTGATTTAACCCATTGCTTAACTCAATAAATAAGATTTATATACTTCGTAGCAAAATAATAAT